GCTGAACTCGAAGAAGTGTCGGGGTAGTACCCCCTCGAAAAAAGGACATGCCCTCAATGGACTCACCTGAAAGTGATCATTGTGAGTATGTCCATAAAATTGCTGAGCGATTGTATTTTCGAACCTGCAAATTTACAAATAGCTATGGAAGTTGGATCAGCACAATAAGTTGTAATGGAAAAATTGTCACGACAGCTATGTTACTGCTCCTCGGGAATCATTTACCCCTCAGGCAGCACGAGCACCTAGGCTCCTTCTATTTCACCTTCTTTGCTTTATATTTTCACTAAGCCATTGCCACAATCCAGACTCTCCAAGACTTTCAAAATTTTTGAAAATCTTGAGAGCTCATAGCTCTTGCAGAGACCTGGGACTGAAAATTTTAAAAGCTCTATGCAGTGCGGGCAACAACTTTTTTGGATAGGGCCGTTTCTAAGTGCACCAGGTCAGCAGCATACGTCAGAATTCCACAGAAGCAATTTCGACTAATTGTTCTTTGTAAAGCAACAAATGCAAAGTCGCTAGGCTTCATGATCCTATGTTATTTTTAAGAGAGGTCCGTACCTTTTCACTATCTCGAAGAAGTTGTATGACCATCCTTTTAGACAGTAATCATCACCAGGAGGTATATGAGAGATAATGTGCACCTGAAATCTATGCTTCCAAAGCATATGTATCTATGACGTTGCTTCTGTTTGAGACAAGTGTCAAATTTGAAATTTCGACATAATCGAGGATTTCATACCTTATCTCCCTTAGCTTCTGAATCGACGAGCTCATCTATCAGCCACTCCAGTGTAGCATCGGGATCTACTTGATTAATATAGAGGTAACTGAAAACAGTCAATGAGCTTTTGAAGATTCAAATAACGAGATTTCTTGTCTTCATCAAAAACAAGCCTCACAAATTGAATTCTGAACAGTAGACCGTGTTGATAGAGATCAATTTCAAGCCTGGTTTGGGGTACACGGCGTAGCTGGCCCGACTGTAAGCAGCGGGTAGTAAATTTAATTAGCACGAAAACAAAGTATAAAGAAGTGCACACGTGCTCACTATTGGACATCAGCCAAAGAGGATTGAGGTAACCAATTGGACCACATCTCTTTCATGAGGCTGTATAACCATTGTGGTCCTCGTTGATCGTATTCCGGCATTGTATGTGGTGCCATTCTAAAATTAGGAAGCGTAACATAACTAGAACACTTTCTGGACTTTTACCAGTTCAGTCTAGTATGACGATGGATAAGTTTCCCATGAGTTTCCCATATAATAGGCAAAAAAGGTCAAACAAGTGATTTGCACTAGAAACGTCAACCAAATCTTCCAAAACTTACGCATCTTGTGGCACTCCTTCATGATTTCCTATGGATACGTAGACAGGAGTTTTTGGAAAGTACTTCAGCAGCAGAGCCGTCAAATTGCGGATATTAGATCGTGTCAAGTCTTGTGTATAATCCCAAGAATCATGTGCTTCAAAGTCTCCAGTTATCATTATGTAGTCCAACTGAAAACATTAGAAATTCGTTAGGAATTCATCATTACACTCCTTTATCATTTGTTACCAATAACTATTTTCTTTGCGGATACTTGCTCTACTTCGTTTTTTAACGGTGGTAGATTGGTAGATTTCCTGGTGGATTGGTCAGAAATTTGGATGCTAGATTGTTGATACCCAAATTTATGGAAGTTATCTAGACCATTTCCGTCTCAATAGTTTCCTGGAAAATTGTTCTTCTCGGATGCCCTGCTTATCATTTCTATGATTTCCTCCCATTCCCGTAAAGCGTAGAAATCTGCCGAATATGCAAGCTCTGTGAAGCCATGAACTGATAATAAAAGTGAATACTAACGATTGTCGACTGCCTATTTGCTAGGAAAAGCGCACCCTAAACTACTCAAACCTTCGGTAACGGTCAGAGAAAAACGAAAAGAAACCATCTCAAGTAGAATTGATCTTTATTAGGTTTTCATAGGCTTTTATATGCTGGGAACTCGAAGGAATGTAATTGTAGAAAATGAGTGCTTACGTCTTTGTGCGCTTTGCTTATGTGACTGAGAGCGGCGTCAAATGTTTGGTACGGTAGATCGCACGAGTAAGGCATTCCCCACGGCCCAGAAGGGACATAGATAGGCTCTGAAATTCGAGTATGTTCGTGCATTGAATTATTATACTATCTACGCAGATGGACTGCAAGAGAGCACAAAAATCCATCGAAGAGGCCTGGCCTGGGGAGGTTACATAATTCTACCACTATGTAACATCAAAACTCTGTTGACTTACTTTTCTTTGTTCGGGAAGCTGAAGCGTCATCAGCATAATCTCTGCAACACAAGGCATATGTGCCTAATGCATCGTCCAGTTGACAGTAAGCTTCAGAACCGACAGCATACTGTCGGTCGATGTGTATGTCTGACAGATGTAGAACCCTGTAGGTAGGCTTGTTGTCCTGAAAAGGTAAGATTATCGAGGACAGACCATCGTAACTGATCACTCTTACAGGAATTGTCGGCCATGGCTTCACTGGTGGTTTGTTGCCCGGTATGGAAATGTTCCACATGACATGGAATGGAAATTCGGATAAGCCACAGTTTTTGATGAATGCTCCACAGAATTCGTTTGGGGTGAATAGAGCTTTTTCCAACACGAATATAATCTCATACTAAATGCGAACAATTAACCTAGCACTCCACATTTGCAAATTTTACAGAAGAATTTTGTATGAATGTGAATCGACATATAGAATTATTGGAATAGGGAATAAATTGATATGAAATAGATATCTTGACTAATATGAACTTGAAGGCAGTGTTTACGATAATTTTTAGCTAACTATTTTCAGAGGGATAATGGAAATGATATTCTAAAATGGTGTCAAAGTGGCGACGATAACACTAAAATGGGCTCATTAGGGAAATAGGACTTCAAAAAAGTAGCAAATGTAGGGGTTGGACGAGGATGTGACGATAAAAGTTGGGTGAACGGGTATTTGGGCATTCTGCTAAAATGTGTACATCATTACGTGCGACCAGCAGCAATAAGCTGCTTCCGTGCAATGTGTGCGTCCCGGTGCGGATAGAGCAACCTGTACTGCTTTTACATTGCCGAATGAACTCGTCCACCTCCGGGCATGCTGTTCAGTGAAAACCTGCTATGGCCATGACCGCCAAGAACAAGTATGCATGGGGCTTTTCTCGCTATAATATGATTGAGAAATGAGTAAACAGAGGCGAAGCTAAACAGTTAGCCTATAAGTTTAGTTGTGGGTGTGGGGGAGTTAAGTAAAATTGGGTAAAGTATCAGTAAAATCTTGAGTAAATTAGAGAAGCAGCTCATTCCTTCTACTGGAACGGTACTTCCCACAACGTTTTCAAAAAATACTCCACACCAGATAAACAATTACCGCAAACGCCTGAATGATGTGTTTACAAACATGAGGTTGCTCAATGTTGAAAGTGTCGCACATTTCTCTAAAATAAATAAATTAAGATGTAAAAGAGAAATAATATCTGTTCTTTTCTACATAACATACAGTCTAGAAGGGCGAAAGTGGTGTAGTGGCAAGTGTCCGCAGTACCACACGAGCCTAGTACGGAGATCGAGTCTCGGCTTGTTACTCGCCTATGCCAACCAAGCTTTTCAGCCTTTGGGGCTTGGTTAGTTGACCGTGGACTTGTCTGGGAAAACAGGACACAGTCTTGCACGTCGTATAGCAAGTCATTTTATAGGCCACATATAGAAGAAAGTCTTTGGGCCTCGAACAGTACCGTATGGGTGATGCCACCGCGCATTTGACTTCCATTCAGAATCGTAGTGGGGTGTTGAGTGTGTGTGTGGCCTATGCAAACATTTGCGGTGGCCAACCGATGAAGTCAGTTCTTTTATCCTCCCAGACAAGTCCGACATCATTCAGGGATAGAAGGTTTGGTTGGTCTATCCAGACATCAGTCCGATCTTCAAACCTGTGACCATGCGTGGGTGATACGCGCCACTTGCCATTACACCAATATGGGAATACTATCACTTATTTGACCCCCTTCAAAATCCAAATCGTCTCTTATCCCATTATACCCATATTATAAAATACTTTTGACACTAGATGAGTGATCGATTTCGAAGCAATTTTTAGGAGAGTGTCGGTTTAGATTCCATTGCTCTCAAAGTTATTTCACTTCAAAAACTACCGGCTTACATTTACGTTCACGTACTTACGTCAGGAAGTTCTCGATCTCCACATCGGTTTTATTCTGCGAAATCAGTAAATTTATCACATCTACCATCATAGTGCAGACATCGCAAGAGAGAGGTAAGTTCTTCGGCTCAGCGATGAACCTTCTCATGCGACGCATCACCTGAAATTTTCGTTATATATTTCTTTGAATACATCAGAAGACCGTTTAAAATGAAAAATTCCTCTAAAAATAAGGATTTCGTTAAGAAAAGCTGTTACCAGGGAATGTTTGTTGCGGAATTGAAAAGTCAGGAGGATATCATGTGATTGATCCTTATAGGATTTCCGCAATCAAGTCGATCGAAGGGCAACATCCGTTCTCCCAGTTCTCCACTACACATGCTAATGCTAAAGGGTGGGGGGAGGTGCTGTTCCGAAGAATTTGTGATGGCTCACTACGCTCATTGCAACTCTAGGATGCAGTTGTGTCGATAAGCAGGGGCTATCCTTCATATCGACTCATTTGCTTCCTCAGAACAGCCCCGGTAGGTTGTTCTTGACATTCTGACTGCGAAATGGCCTGAATGGAGGAGCTGTACAAGTCTCCCACGTTGGCTGGCAATCAAGTACATAAGCTTGATCACACCACATTTATTAATGATCCCGCTCACCCTTCAATAGCATTTCTGCTCGGGTTCGCTGATATATCTATTAGATCTAGAGCGCCCAAATTTACCTCCCCGCTTCTTTTAATTACCACAGGCAATAATGAGATGTGGAGCACGGAAAGGGAACCCCACAAGTACTAGAGCTAGCGGCAGCCTCCTTCATCAGAGAGGGTGGGGGAGGGGGATTCAGGAGCTACTACATTGCCTAATATCAATGTGTCGACCTCCGCTTAGTTATTCGGGTTGGCAACGAAGTCTGTGCATTTGCCTAAGTTGTTCAATCATTTGTTTTGAACAATCGGGGCAACAACCCGATTTCCGGGGTATTTATATTTATTAACCAGCACTTGAGCATTTTATGGTCAATACATACATGAACGAATAGATATTTTTTGTAAAATTAGATGATTACATTCCCCTACAACATGCAAGCTTGCCTACATATTGCCGATCCAGGCACTATAGCAAAGGATCATACACATAAAATTCCCAAGATTTCATCCAATCACTCCACTGATCTTCAATTATTCGAAAAAAGTACCTTGTTCTTTGAAATCACAACGTTTCCGCCTTTCTCGGGTAGTACACTTGCTAGGCCAAGTGAGGCAACGGCGATGAGGATCAGAAACTTCATCACCAGGCACCTTGAAGCAACGACAGTATTTAAATCTTTACAAAAACAACTGCTATGAAAATCGGAGTGAGTGAAGGGTGCTTCGAAAAATGAGAGCATGCTGAACTAGCAGCAGATAAGCTATTATCTAAGCGGGTATTACGCATTCATTCGCAAATGTCGAGAATATATAAGCCGGTTATCTTACACCTTTTGGTGTCTATCCCAAGCAAAGATCGCAAATACTTTGATAAGGGAAACCCTATGTGTAGACCGTGAGGCTTTTTTAAGCTTTTTTTGGAGACGTGTTCGATGGTCTATGACTGACTGGCTAAACGATAGCACACCTCCATCTCGAGGAGCAATTTAAGGGGCCTGTCATGGAATGGTACAACAAGCAGTTGCTGCGTCGCGTCGCAGCTTCTGAGATGAGCTTCGGGGTCCCAAAAAAAAA